CCATTAAAAAATTAAAATTAAAATTAAAAAATTACAAAAAAAAAACAGAAAGCGGGAGAGAGACAGAGCGCTACTGGCGCCTACTGGGTCAGATCGATAGTTAGGCAAATTAAAACTAAACTAAAGAAAAACGTATGCAACTTAAGCTTCGAAATGACAGACAACAAACAAAAAAGGTAATTTCCCAGAGCTGCGTCACAGCGCATATCAAAAGCTCCCGTATCGGTTCTGTTTTCAGTACTGGAGAGAATAAAAGATACATTCTTAGATGTTTTTGTGGGTAATGATACCCATACTGTGCTGCACATTATTGGCAATATTGAGCTGAAGCTTGACTTTGCAAATTTAAAATCGCAAATCAAATCGCAATCGCAATATCTGTCAAAAAAAATCGCAATTTGATATTTTCCCCCAAATCGCACAGCCCTAATACATAACCAACGAATTGAACGTGTTGTTCATGTCACATGAAGACTAATCGATACTTTACTAAGAAGCTAACGTTAACCAAATAAAATGTTTAAACACACAGGGTGTGGTATGCCACAGTTCAAAGATTTTAAAACTAAAGAGTTCACAAAACCAACGAAAATCACCTCTAACAAATTAATATTGACAACTGGCTCCTTGTATAAGAACATTTAGCATTAGCACGCTAACACTAGCCGAACAGGAAAAAATAGATAGCAAAATCTAAGAACAACACAACCCTGACCTAATCTGTTCCCTTTCCCTAAAACACCCCATCCAAGCTCTTAAATGCGTTGTTGATGGAATCATACAACGCACGTGCTCATACCCGCTATTAAGCCTCTTGCTCCGTAAATCCATTTCCACATCGGCCATTTTGTTTCAGCAGCGGCCCGCTGTGTTCTTCTTCTGCAGTGAGATTATGAGGAGGGCTAGAGCGAAGTGGAGCGCGTGCGCTCTCTAGTGCCTGCATTAACAACTTCAGATAATTTCTTCTTCTTCGATTTTATGGCGGGTAGCACCAATGTTAAGGTGCATTATCGCCACCTACTGTATTGGAGTGTGGACCAGAGTTTACCCTTTCATAATGAGGACAGGACAAAAAAGGAAAGAAAAGCCAAAAAAACAAATTATTTACCTCAACAAAAAAAATTCCCTCTAAATTCTCTTAATCAGCTCTGTTCTCTTAAAATACAAAAATAAACTCTCTAGTCCATAAGTAAATATATTTTTAAGCTTTAGGTTATCCACTCCCATCTTTCTAAGTTCATTCTTCATTGTTTCTCGTTCATTAGTATACTTTTGACAAACACAAATAACATGTTCTACTGATTCCTCCATTCCACAGTGCTCACATAATCCTGTTGGATGTTTATTTATTATTTTTAAGATTTTCTTCAGAGAATTTATTTGAATGTACTGTATAAGGCAAATTCTGTAGGTGGTCACGAGTCTTAAAAAATGTAATAATGCTTTGCTTGCGTTCTCTATTCTTTTACTTTAATAAAAAAAAAAAAAAGAATGATAAGAAATGCAGTCTATGCTG